GTCATTCTTTCACCTTCTTCTAGAGGCCTTTTAATGGTTCCTAACACATACCCAAGTAAATCATTTTTAACTAAAACTGCTTCCATCTGCATTTTCCATGTGTCATAATTATTTCTGTTCAAAAGTTCAATGTGATTACTCATATTTCTTTCCATATTCCTCACTTAATTAAGTCTCATAATCTGTTAAAATTGAATCAACTATTCTTTAATAACACTCACACAATAATAACCTTTATTTACTTATAATCATAACAAAACTAGATATATAACATATGATTTTATAAAACAGGTAATAAAGTAAATTGGATGATGTTGTAACTCCAACAAAAACCACATTAAATCTGACAATTTTAAGGGAATATTTTAGTAGAAATCCAGCCAGGTAAATGGAAATTCGCTTAGTCTGCAGATTTGATGTGGCGGGGGTATTTTACTATACAATATAAATTCAACTGTTTTAATAACATTGTCATTAGCATATCATTTATTGCACAAGGAAATGTTTGAAAGAAACTGTTTCTGGGATGCCCCATTCATTAGTTAAAGATGAATAGTTTGGTTGAGGAAAGTAGCATGAAAGCTGTTCTGGTTCAATCAAGTAAATATCTGAAAGAATTTTGACCTCCTACATTAATTAAGGCTAAGAATAACTGTTCTTTAAGTCCAGAGTCTTTTGTTTATGTTTTTGGTTATATAATTTATACTATCACTATAAGTTCTTATAAGTAACATTTTTTTATCTAAAGTATATTCAAGCACAAATAGTATTTGTTGATAAAAATATTGTACTACACTGCATGGAGTATACACTCAGTGCTCGATTTGCTGGAGAAATGCAGCGGATCGGAGTTCCGTTACCTCTCTTTCGGATGGATAAAAATATTATCTTTAATATTTACAAATCACATTACTGAGTAGGGTCTACACTAGATAAGCAATGAAACCTAAACACTTACTTCATCACCAGAATGCTTATGTTTGTATTGCATGTGAAATGTCCTTTTAGAATTTTCCTTAATTGTTATTCAAACAAATTTAGCATTTTGTAAAAGATTTTGAGGAATCATCGGTCACTTGACTTATGATCTCTGAATGTGTTGACTCACCAAGCTATTAAGTCCATTTGGAATGTTTGATTGTCTGGAAGTGGAAATGTTTGGAGAGTGATGTTGTTGTTGCTATGTTTAGACTAATGCATCTATATATATAATACGCTAAGCCGATTTTTGTAAACAGAACTCCTCCCACATTTTTGGACCGATTTTGATGATTAAAATGTCAAAACAATTGCCCTGATCTGTAGTTTTGCAAAGTGTGTTTCGTTTTTTGATATCTTTATTAGTTTGGGCAGGATCTTCCATCAAAGTTGGGTTTTCTTCCATAAGATTAACATGGGGGAATCTAAATGTTTAATTGGAAACTTTGTCTCCACTAATTTGAGAGAACGGCTGGGCGTAGAAACTTGGTAAAGGTTTCCAAAGAAAGGTCTTGGTCTGTAGATGAGTTATCAAAAGATAAACGAAGTAAATTAGCTGAGGGCTCTGCCTCAGAAGCCTTTAAAGATCCCTCGACAGCTTTGTTTATTTGGCCATATAATACTTTTTAATGAAACAGCTGTTAATTTTTAAATTGTGTTTTAAACAACGCACATTTATTGGGAGTAACTGAGTTGTCCAGAAGAAGTATTTGCAATGTTATTTTCTGATTTTAAAATTGATTTTCTTCTGTATTATGTAATATTTTGCAATGTATAACGTTTCATTACGAAATCAGAGGAAATTCCTTTTATCACAGAACTCTTACAATAATTTCTTATCGAACTATCTAATATCTGTTGTACGGGTTGTTGTCTGCCTTTTTCACCACTTTTGCCTATATTTGATCATATTATTCTACAGATCATCATGAGATTATTGTCATACATGTTTTCAATCATTGGAAAAATAGTCGAATGTGTAATACAATACAAAATAATACAAGTGCAGAAGGGCACGTTATCCATTTGAGCCGTGTCCATATTATGTTAAATTAATAGTAGTTTACAGCAACTGGATAAAACTTTTTACAATATTTATGTTGAAATATGTCCACGATTTTACTACAATTTACTACAGACTTTTCAGAGAGGTTGCTATAAAGTATTCATTCATCATAGTGAACACATAATATATATATGTATACAAATAAGAATTTGAACTCTTAGAGAGCCTTTTAATGTTATTAGAATAACGAAATGGGTTTTACATGTTTACTAGCGCTACTCAGCAACAAAAACCATTTAATTTTTCTCTAAAATATGTATTCTTAAAGTGCACTGAGCAGCAGCCTAAAAAATACTATGTAACTTACCCATATAGTTACAAAATGCCTGAACTCGCATTGTAACATTTATAATTCGGCGTATATTTCTCCAGCAGATTATTTATCTGCAGAAGAAGTTTATTGTGCTCTTATCATGTCTAATAACATCCAAAGACAGAAACCTTGCCTAAAATGGTACCTATCTAGAGAAATTATTTGCAGTATCCTATATTACGGACCGCGGCCCACTGGGTTGTTAACATGATTGAAAATAACACATTTCGGCTTTAAAAAAGGCATAAAGAGTAAATACTATTTAAGCAGCTACTTAAAGTACATTCCACTTAACCTAACTTTCCGTAGATGAATTAGCGTAAGCCTTGAGAGTAACCGTCGATTTCGACGGGTTTCACCTAGTTATTTATACTGTAAAAATCTGAGACTTATGTCATCGCACAACAATGAAAAATATTTGACCAATCACTTTGGATAATACTTTAAATTTTTAAAGCAGGTGTTATTTGGAACTTTGGAACCCTTACTAAACATCAATAATGTTGTTTACTATCAGCTTCCACCAAAGCCGGACACTGCTGTTTATACATATTTTGATCAAACTTGGCAAATTTATTTATTTTATACTACGCTATTAATATTTTACTAAAAAACACACATTATTAGTTTCCTTGTAGCAACAAACCTAGGTACTCGTTAAACCTAATGTTAAGTTAAATAGGTTTAATTAAAAATCAATTAGGACAAATGAAATTCGCTTAGTCGGCAGGTTTGCTGCGGCGGAGGTATTTTTATTGATTTTAGTTTTCTATCTTTGACTATTAATACAACTTCACTAAATAGTCAATGGTTCTATTTTTGGTTTAGAATGGTAATGCAGTGTTGAATTGTGTCTTGTAAGGGGTAGACCGTGACTACAAAGGAGAGAATTTAGGAATGGTGCACAGCATAGGTGGAAAATGATATTGTTTGGAGGAGATTTTAACCAGATACTGTCCGTTATTCGAAGCAAAAAAAGGTCCAAATAATAATCTGCTTAAACAAACTAAAATATTTGTGTCAATGCAGATAAAAAGATATATGGAGATTCGCTTCGACAACGTGGAAAAGGAACCCTAACCAATGTCAAAGTATTTAGAAATAAATCAATGATTAGTTTTCTTAACAGAATGTTACAGTATTTACTCAAAAACAATTACATTTGTTGCCTTTAGCAGATTTAAAACTCTGGAAGGAATTAAATTATTTATTGAAATTTAACAACAAGGCAAACAAAAAAGATGGTTTTTTTCCAAAGGATATGTTGTACAGTGATAAATCAATTTTCAGTTTGTTTAAATGTTACAATAATTTGTTTTACATTTAAGATTTTTAGGGACTTTGGTCCCTACCAGCCACTTGTTATCTTTAAGCTCTTTAAAGTCTAATGCCAAAATCAAACCAGATAATACACAGAGTGAAATGATATTATCACCAAATTCATAGGCATCAAAGTTGATGTTAAGAGTGATGAATCGAATGTGTTTTCTTCAGAATTGTAGGAAACAAGTCTAGTATTTTGGAATTGAAAATAGTGTACATTTGACCATAAACGTCAATATAAAATGTAATATATAGTCTGATCCTGATCTCAAAATTGAGGCGGTTGAAGCTGTAGGGGATGTTTCCCTGGGTTCCACTTTTTTAGCTTAATGTATTAATAAGCTAATCAGCTGTCGCGCATGGTTTTAAAGTTAGTTAAATCACTTTATTTTGTTAATTTTTTATGTTAAAGGTGGAGGGGATGGAATCACTTCCTCCCAAACCGCCTAAATTTTGTGAACGGAGTATAGTCGCAAATTCAGATTTTCTTGTTTACTTATATTTTGGACTTCAAAACTGATAAACTAAAATAAGAACAACTAATTAGTGGACAACAAGAATAATTTAATTTTTTTTATTATTTTATAAAACTACTTGTACAAAATGTAAAAAATTTTACGAGCTACTTTAAAAATGTTTGTAAAAAAACTGCCTCACATTGAAGTTAAAAAATTGTGAAACATTGAAGAATTAGAAGCAAAATACTTAAAAAATCAGGCTTACCTATGAAATACAGTAGTTTATTATAGGATACTTATTCCTGAGCATTGGCCCTATAACTTAGTACAGTATTATCAATGAATACAAATTCTATTATTTTTGTATTCATCGGTAGTAACCTAAGAACTAAATCGAGTCTTTCAGTATTTTATATGGATATTATGGATTTATAAGCTTAAAACATTGATGGTCAAATGTACTTTATTTTTATTTACTTAAAATTATAACTTATTAATTTACAATATACATATAATACACAATATTATATTTATATATACAATCAATAAATACTTTATGAATAGAGGATTTTCACATGCAACATACACGATTCTCACTTTTATCATTTTTACATCATCTGACTACCTAAAAGTACCTACCTAATGAAAATACATTCCACTCTGTATAAATCATTATTAAAAAAATAGGTATATATGTTTAGTTAAGTTTTATTTTATTTTGTACAATACTTAAAGTTACCCAGTAACTTATTCAGGTTATTTATTTCCAAATCACCAATTTGGTGCAGTTATTTTAGCAACAATAATTAATATGAATAATGTGAAACATTGCCACAAGAATAATGGTTTACAGTGAGCAAGATTGGTAATGAAAATGAGTCAAGATTGTTTTATTTAAATTATCTATATCTACATAAGTGATAATTTCATCAAAGATGTTTTACTGTTTCAACAAATCTATCAAAACTAATGAGCCTAATTAAAATATCACAGTTATAAAAAGCACGTCCATCATAAAAATGTTTCTTTTGTTAGTTTGTCTTCCTCTTGGATCCAGCAGCGAAAGGCGACTGACGGTTCTTTGTTGCTTCTAGTTGAGCTTGTTGTTGTTGTTGTTGTTGTTGTTTCTTTCTCTGTAACAACATAAACTGGTGTTAACTTATACCAAATTACTTTTTCCTACAGTTATCTGACAATGTGGGCTTCCTCGCACTAAACATAGCCCGAAAAGTAGCTAATTGCTGAATTTACTTACTTTTTCCACACTCATTTTTTTACCACACTCCAGTATTTCAACCAAACAACACAAAACAGTGTGCTTTAGGCAGTAATACGTGAACACTTGAAAATAAGTGGGCAACTCTTAAAGATGCTCATGAACAGTAAAGTACCACTTTGCACACTATAGCACACAAATAACTTTAGAGTTACTAAGCCACCAAATATAAAAACAAAGGAAGCGCGGGGATGGGTGAAAAATGAATGGCAAATAAATTATAGTATTGTGTTACTAAGATCCCAGCTTGTTTTTTAGTCATAGTCGAAAAGCCAAATATCATCAGACCTCAAGAATATATTTAATGTATAAACCAGCAAACACAGAATAACAATATTCTGTTCTCACTGGTATAAACCCAGTGGGTTTATAATGGAATGGTATCTTTGTTGTTGTTTTTCACTCAGAGAAAAACAAAGATACCATTCCTGTGAAAGGATTAGAATCCCCAGAAAAGATAGATTAAACAAACCCCTTATTGATTTACAATCCTAATGGATCAGCTAAAGGTACTATTCGAGGTTAGTTTAAACTGATTAAATACAGAGAATTGTATTAATTGTTTCTTGGTCTTTAGCAGTTTTAACGAAAGATTAAAGCACATTGTAGAATCTACCCCAAAATGTGAGAGAAACATTCAGTTCACATCATCACACATACATGCACATATAGACGGCTTCAGATTTACAACAAGAGATATGAAGTCTGTTTAAATTCCTTTCCTAACTTGTCTTCAAACCAGTTCTTCACAAAATTAACACACAAATAGCACTAATTAAATGTAGAAAATTCAACCCATATTATGCTACATGCAGATATGGTAGTAAATATTCAAATTACGCTTGTTAGAGCCACTTTGTGTATTCAGCAAACTGCGTGCTAAGTTTAGAACTTTTAATATCCTGCTACTATATCTCCCTATATTTGCATGTGTATCTTGTCCTGGTCTTGTCACTTAAGTTATCTTATTGGTATACATTGGACAAGTATAAGCTAATCACTTCAATTGATTGCAATCTCAACTATATAGGCTTCTACTTCTACACTATCAATATTTACTCTGTTGGTTATTATTATCTATAACAGCATTAATAAACTGATCAAGCTTGCAACTTCCAGGTTCCAGAATACTAGGTTATGTCAAACCCAGTGATGGCGAGTAGAACGTCCCCAAATTTAGAAGGTAATAAATTAATTAATGTTTCTTATAACCCCATGCCTTCCAGGTGGATTCCCCCCCCCCCCTTACTTCTAATGGCAAATTTTCGCTACTGTTTAAACATGAGAATCATTTCATTGAATGATTTCCAAAAAAATTAAAATATTACAATGTTTGAGTATTCTAATCATTTATATTTTACAACAATAAGAGTAGTGACTGTACCTGAGCATCGAGCGCTTGTGAGTTGAGGAACCAGAAAGGTTTCTTGTCGTCAGGCCAGCTCTGCACTCGGTTGTAGAGAGCTTCAGTCTCCAATGTACCAGGGTGTAGAGCGGGTGCTGGGGTACCGGGGTTCAGGGGGGCACTGTCAGCGCCAAAACGGTTGTTCTCGTCTTTAGGAAGATATTGGGGAAGTACTCCAGGATCGGAGGCTCCGGCGTAGGGCGATCTCTGGGCCATGGCGGAGGCGATCATGCAAGCTATCAGCAGGGAAACTATACTCATCTTGGAAACCTGTGGAATGAATAAAAATTTAATAATTACTCTATGTCGAATATTGTTGAATGTATACAACAGTTTGTTTTCAAACAAATAAGATCCAAAAACATAAAAATAAAACACTAAAAAAATGCACAAAAAATAAAAGATCTTTTATTTTTTTTATAACAGTCCAACAGATTGTTGTATAAAGTAAGGAGAGACAAATTAGGAAAAACATTTCCAAATACAAGCAATCATCAGAGGAAATAATATTGTTGTGGAAATCGGTAAAAAAAACCAGCAATCATTAAGAAAACCACAACCATTATAGAAACAGCCTGTCAAATAAAAGTAATCATAAGGAAAATTGCACTCATCGTGGACATATTTAGAGTACAAGCATTCATGAAGAAAACTATTGTCATTGTAGAAAACCTTGATTATAGAGTGTAAATAATAATTTAAACTATAATTTAGTATAATTATAACTATACCTACTGAGAAAGATCTGAAAATATGTTCATAAAGAGTCAAGTTTCTTCAATAAAAAAATACCACATAACAAGTACTATAATGATTAAATCATTTTTTTAAAGTAATCATAATCATTCACACAATCTATATAAATAAAATTAGAGTTTTGTCTGTACATTGCTCAGAATTATATATTTTTAGGTTATTTTTACGTCTTATACATTAAATAAGCAGAAACGAGTCTTATCTCAATTTCTGTCTGTCTGTCTGTCTGTCTTTCCCTTTGTCTGTAACACTCAAGATGGCATTTTACGCTATCTTCTCCTGGAAAACGAGAGTACCTATCAAGATCCAAGTAATGTTAATGTATTCACTGGATTGGCGAGATTGTCTTTAGCCTTTAAAATATGGCCTCACTACTTTGTAAATAATATTACGAACGTTCAAAAATGTAGTTTTGTGCGATTTATGTCAAGTTTTCGTCCAATTTTTATTGCATAATCATCTATGAAATAACGAACAGCTGTTCGGATCAAGATTATTTTTCCTAGCTGTCACTGATATGTTTACAAATGTTGTTTACAAATACCGCAACCTTTTTCAATCACGTTTTGAATGTAAATCCCAAGTGATTTTAAACGTTTTTCTTACATAACGGATTTAATTAATCGAAAGTGCAATAATATAGTGTAATAGTGTAACCGTGTAAATGAAATTAAATAACTAGGCATCATCCAGTTCAGGAACCAGAGATTCTTTGTGTATAAATTGTTCTTGAGTTTTGATAACCAGAAAGAAGACCTTGAATCAGTGTTGTATACGGCTGGGAAACTTTAAATTTAATAATGATCGTCGCCAATGGCTTAGAAATATGGTTTCCACTCATTGACACGGCGCTTCAATGGCAGTTGTGTAAAGTGTAAAGTAAAAAATCACAACTGCAGTGGGTGATTGTAACAATGTGTTATTTTCTGTTCCTACCATTGACTATATATATATAGTCAATAGTACCTACTCACCGTGTGATGCAATCGCTGGAACATACAGCCATGCTCTTGGGTACGTACGCCTACCCAATTATTCATAACAAACTGTCGTTCGACGACGATCCTTGATACCGGTACTTTTCCCTAGAATACACGGCCTACCTACTTAAGAAATAAAATTACAAACGTCCAAAAACCCAACGTTGTGTGATTTTTGTCACATTTCCTTCTAATGTTATTAGATAGCCTTTACCAATCATTGTTTAGAGAATAGGTACGTAGGGCCTAATCTATTAAATAACAAAAAGTTGTTTGTATGAGGTTGTTTTTTTTAAAAACTGACACAGATAAGTATACATTAAAAGTTGTTTACAAATAAAGCAATTATTGGGAAATAACTTTGATTGCCGTTTTAAAACGTTTTACGAGAAAATCAAAAACCAAGAGATCAATAACCTCGGGACTTGATTAACTCATATAATTGGTCGGCTGTACTATAGTTCTCACTGTGAACGTTGGTTTTTGGTACCGGTTCTATTCCTTAGAACCGTTGGTACTGTTGGTAGTAGCAAGAATCATTTTTAAGTACCAACACATCACTGTACTTTACAAATTAGTTATCGTTGGTGTTGCACCTTATTTATTATTACAGGCGTATTCAATTTAATTGATGTCTTAACTGTACAATTTTTGCTTTTTCTTTCTTGATTCCAAAATGTTAGTTTATGCTAAGAAAACGATAACGCACTTTAGTAAAACATTTATTCAACTAACCATAATGAATTGTTAAACGCTTTACGTTGTTTATGTATCAATAGTTAGTGGCCTATTTTGGTAATATTTACTATAAATTACCAATCGTCTATACCAGGGTGGCTGGACCACCCTGGACCAGTCGTCTTCATTTCATATAGTAAGCCGTCATTTCGGGTCATCATCGGTCCAAGCAAATATACATTGTTATGATGAAATTTGATGACATTAACAAAATATTTCAGATACTAATTTTACAAGTACTTTGTTATGCTTAAAGCGTAGCAAACCCCCTAATTAAGTTCTGTCTTTTTGTGTGTATGTCTGTTAGTAAAGCATTAATGTCCTTATTTCTCAGTGTTTCACGGAAAGGACAAAAGTACCTTTATAATGAAAATGTCAACACGAATAAAGTGTTAAATTGGGAGGTTGAAGTAGTACCTTAAATACTTTTAACCATTGTGGAAGGTAACTTTCAATTATAGGCCTACATTAGGGCTATGCCTCATAGATCTATAAAGCATTTTTTAGTTTAATCATTGGATTTAACATATGGACCAACACGACCCAGGTTACATTTAATTTCGAAGCATTTGTTTTGGCTTGAAACTGTCAGTTACTGTATTTGCGAAGGTTTATATACTGTATAATAGTTTTGCCAGCATATCTGAAAATATGCAAACCAAATTCTGTTCTTAATAAAAAGGTTTCAATAACTGACTACAATAAGATCCCCGTGCGTAGAACGGGCACACAGCTAGTTCATAATATATTGTTTATTTTACACTCTAGTATCAAGGTTTGCTACAATGACAATTAATAGTTTTCTTGATGATTGCTTGTAGGCTGTACTTTAAAGATGTCCATGATGAGTACAATTATCCTTATGATTACTTGTATTTGACACTTTGACAGGCTGTTTCTATAATGGTTGTGGTTTTCTTGATAGAGTCAACTCATATTTTGAGTCAACATAATAGTGTACCAGTGTACCAAAAATATTACTGTATGACTAAACCATGTTTTCCCCTACAGGCAAATACTAAAATAAGATTGTCAATTCAAAATTAAGTACTGTATTATCTTTGACCATTAATACAACTATTAATTCTGTATCCATAGTCAATGTTATTATTGATCAATCTACACAAACGATTATGATTGAAGCTACCCAAAAAAAATATCTCCCCTAAAATAATAAAATTAGTAGACCTATCGCTAACTACTAACTGAATTCAAAATATTGTATAATATTATTGACAAGTTTATGTTTATTTATTCTTTTCCAACTTGACCTCTAATGACCTTGATTCGGAGTTTTGGGTTGCCCTTTCCTTATCTTGCAGAGTTCAAATTATATTGTTTTTGATACTGGCATCTCTATGTCTAAGTTCAAACAAATAACACACTTATCATTACAGAATTCTGCTATTAAATCTTTAAGGACCCTTTATCCTCAGTAAAATGACAAAATTCAATTTTATAATCATTATGTACTTTTATACATGTAATGAGGCCAAGTGTTAGTTTTCCAAAAACCGTTCAGAAGGTAGAGGCTAACTACATCAATCCCTAAATAATTTGACCAATGAACTTTGAAATGTTAAAGAGACTCCTTCACAAAATAATGCACCCAACATAGTGAATATATAGCTTTTTAACTAACAACAAACACGTTTTAAGAATATGGCTAGTAATACCATAGTTGTTACAATCTGTTAGAACAACAAGTTAATCAAAAACAGAAAATCTATAGCTATATCCTCATGATTTATATTAATGATACATTTTAAAGCTATCTTTGTAGGCCTAATCGTGAAGTTAATCCCTATTTTAAGACATAACTGGGAAAATTTGATATCATAATATTAATTTGTTAAAAAAAATTAATAGTAAACACCCTGTTTATTCCTAATCGTGAATGAACGTTTTTACAATAATCCCTTAAATAACATATTAACATAATAAAGGAAAATTTAAAAAAATGGTTTGTTATAATTGTATAAATCTAGCTATGGCAAAATAAATTTGTGATATTTTGCGAATTGTTAATAATTTATTTTTCTCTATTGTTTAGGTGAAGTGGTAGAACATTATGGCTATGGTAGATGTGTAATACTACAGAATACTGTAAATTTAAAAAAGCAAATTTTATCAAACTGTGTCCTCCCTTATTGCAAATTCAAAGCTTGAGTATAACTGCAATAAGCATTTTATACTTATATTCCAACCCCGTAAGAAGGACGGGTACTCTGCTAGTAACCTAATAAGAGTTAAAAAATATCTGGAATTATAAACAACCATAAACATCTACTTCAAAAAGAAGAAATAATTAGCAAAATAAGCTATGACCTTGACAATCTAGTGCAGATTCAGGAGACTCACCATGATCGTAGTTGTTGGGGTCTGCGTCTGAATGTGATAGTGATGTTCGGACGAGACACTGGTTAGTGGTTATACAAGCTTGTCTTGCCCCCACCAAACCATGGGATGGGATATCCCAGCCTAGGTACTACGTCATAACCCTTCCACGCACAGGTCCGCGGCCTATAGGGACGTCCCTAGTGACGTCATCATTGTGTTCTGAGAAAGTACGACTTTCAATCAGAAGGTTGTTTTAGATTATAAATCGGTCAATAACGAGGCAAAATGCGGGTTTTGGTACAGAAAAAAGTAGGTCATGAACTAACTAACTGACCTTTTCGACCTATATTGATTGAATTTCTTCAGCAAATACAGGGTGTCCCGTAACTCTCTGGACATAATGTATATAGCGTTATTGCTTAAGACAAACACATTTCACCATTGGAACATCGGTCTGTGGTGCCTAGTTTCCCGTCAGTCTGTATTTATGTGTGTTTTACAAAAACATTAATAACTCAGAAAAGTGGTCATGCATTTAGAAAAGAAGACATTTCTCTGTTATTATTTATCCATTCTCAACAAATGAGGTGGCATTGAAAACTACCTATAATTTACTAACTCTTTTGTCTCTAGTAATTTTTTCGTTAAGTTGACGGTTTACGTGAAATTTGGAATAAAATCATTTAAATGGCTGCAAAACTAGGCACCACAAACCCATGTTCCTATGGTGAAATGTGTTTGTCTTGACCTAAGCAATAACGTTATATTATACATATGTCCAGAGAGTTACGGGACAACTTGTATAATGCAATTTAGTATAACTATTGAATAAATAGAGCGACGAAGAAACTAGGAATAAAATGGAGAGATGATATAATAAGTGCGTGGGAGAAAGAAAATTATGGAAGAAGTCAAAATGCTACGTAATTTCGTAATAAGCAAACTTTTAACGTTTCTGAACTAACCTTAACCACAGATTTACATTTACAAATTTATCAGCAAGATTTAGACTAAAAGTTATTGGGGGTAGTTATTTCTGTTTTTGTTGAAATTACTGTATTTGCGAATTTAGAGATTTATCATTCATCCTTTCTTTATAATGATCTAGGTCCTTATTTGTAAGAGGGCCTGAAACAAATAGTGATGACCTTCTCCGCAATTTCTCGAAAGAATGCATTTCGTCATCCTAATATAAAATGACAATACAATAAGCGGGGATTGAACTAATACATATTTTTATTTTCGTAAAATGTAGTATAAAACGTGTTTAATACTATTACTACGTACTAGGATTGTCAAACCCCTTTTAACTAAACCAAAATATAAATACAGTATGCCATATTTATGTCACATCTTTTGATGACCAATGTCAAGGTGGTCTCCAATTCAAGAGAAGAAACGCACCGTTGCTCGATAAAATTGATGTAAAATCAATTAGTCATTCTCGTATCAAACCTGTTTTGAAACAGGCACTGACCTTACCAAGGTCCTCGGCTTAAATCAACAGGTCTTCTCATACAGAGTTTGTTTACTATGGATACTCTACTTCAAGTGATTGAAATTCGGTTTAATTCTAAAATATTTATTGTAGACACACAATAATGCTTAGCTCAGGTATTAATTTGGTTCAACCAGAAAGATGATGTAATAATCCACCTGAAATATAATCGCTGGAAATAGATTCGGATGGAAACTGAACTTTGCACAATGACTTAACATTAGACGCAAATGAGGAAAAAGTTAAACATTTGGAAGTTTTGACTATGTTTAGATCATTTCACATATTGATTGACGAGGGTTGGAATTTCAACCGTTCTGTGACGTTTACGATGTGTTATGTGTTTGTTGTGCATATGACCATACACTTTGGATTGGATACTACAATCACAGACAGTTAGCTCAGAACTAGCAAATAATTACATAATTAACACATAATTTAACACATCTATACTATTATAAGAAATTCGCTATAAGAGGTGGTTGCTGTATGTGTGTATGTGTGTATGGGAAAAGTAAACTCGAAAAATACTGGTCGGATTGGGCTGAAATTTGGCATGATGATAGCTCACATTCCCGATTAACATATAGGCATACTCTTATTTCAAAAATCCTTTTGGGCTCCGCCCCAGTGGCTCTGGAGTTTCCCATGTTAACCTTATGAGAAATGGAATTATTGAATCTTAACAGCTGTTTCAATTAAACAAGTTGGTTCTGTTCTATGATGTTCAATAGCATTAAAGTTACAAGGATTACCAACAGGGTGCAGCACTATTATTTCTTTTACATTTATGACAACAGCTAATTTGCAACCAAAAGGTGAGTGAGCGTAGCGAACGAACTTCAACCTGGAGGCGAGTTAGCGTAGCGAACAAGCTAACCTGAAGGCAAGTGAGCGCAGCGAACGAGCTCCAACCTAAAGGTGAGTGAGCGTAGCGAACAAACTTCAACCAGGACGTGATTGAGCCATGCGAACGAGATAATCTTGAAAATTAAGAAGTTAAACGGGGCAAAGCCCGCGGGTTACAGCTAGTAAAACATAAAATAACACATAATTAGTTGAAGTTTAGTATATGCAACAAAGTAAACTTATGATCCCATTGTAACATTAACATAAATATCTATCTTCTATTTATATAATACGCTAAGCTAATTTTTGTGAACAGAACTCCTCCCTCATTTTTAGACCAATTTTAATGATTAAAGTGTAAAAGAAATGGCCCTGATCTGTATTTTTGCAAAGTGGTTTTAATTTTTGAAATCTTTACAAGTTTGGGCAGGATTTTCCATTAAAGTTGGGTTTTGTTTTCTCCCATAAGGATGGGGGAATCTATATATCTTAGAAACTTTGTCTCCACTAATTTGAGAGAACGGCCGGGCGTAGAAGCTTGGTAGAGGTGTCTAAAGAAAGGTCTTGGTCTGTAGATGAACCGTCAAAAGAAAAACGAAGTAAATTCCCTCGGGATCTGCCCCAGTGACCTTTAAAGTTCTCTCCCCAGATTTGTTTACATTATGGCCATATTTTTAACAACACACATTAGGGAGTTGAATTAGTCAAAAAGAAGAATTTGCAATGTTATTTTTTTATTTTAAAATTGATTATGTCATGTTTTGCAATATAACGTTACATTACGAAATCAATGGAAAATCTTAATATCTCAGTAACTCTTGGATTATCTTATATCTATGTCAATTGTACGGATTGGAATTGTTGGCATGAGTTATTTCGTAACAAAGTAACAAATCACTTTAAAAGTAAATTTTTAAAGCTAAATTAAAAAGTATCGCATATATGTTTCAATATAGTACAGCAGATTTTTTACAAGAAATGGTTTTTCACGTCTGTGAACCCCTAAAATTGAATTGTATAAAGCAGTAATAAATAACTTGACGACTTTTTAAAACATGTAGGCCTATTGTGGCAGACTTTCTATTAAAACCCTCAAGCGATTTGAATAAAAAAGAATCTTCGCAAATGTCGTCATCGTTTTAATTAATTTTTGGTCTTTTAGGGATGACTTGATTTTAATTTTAAACCTCGAATTCAACGCATTTCAAAATTACTTCCAGTGTCATCAAACAATTTATACCATATTGAATTTTATTGCAACATTAAACACAGAAAAGTATTTCATTGAGTAAACTAACAACACTAATTTCCTGTAAGGCATTGTGTTGGTGTGAGAATATGATAATAGTTTCTGGTAAACTTACACAATGACTCGACACTTGCACCTGTCCGTTGCGACTTTGACCTCGTTTTTATCAGAAGTTCACGTCACTGTTGTCTTTCTGGAGACAGCCTGAACATGATGGGCGATTGCGTGTATGGAAAACACTAGTAATGATTATGGATAATTCATGAATACATACATATTCGATACCTAAAACAATCAAGGATTCTGACCACGCTCATGATGTAGTGCTGTAGGAAAAGTAGGCGATTTAGTATTCAAAAATCATCAAAAGGATGTTTCATACATCGGAACATTGTCTGTCATCTTAAAGATATATTTGTAAATTTTAACAATTATTTATTTAGTACTGTGTACCTATTTTCTTTTGTAATATTTGCTAATATTTATTATTTAAGGGGGTTGTACTCGGCAGCCTGAATTTTAATTCAAGATGGCGGATTATATGGATTGAAATATAGTTAGGGATTGAACATGCCTCTATTGTAAAAGCTCTCAACATTATAAAAATTTTTTTTCTATGATTGTGTGCATTTTGTGCTCTCAACATATCAGAGCTTGCAATGGATGGGAAATTAATTTTGAACTATTATTTAGATTTTAGAAGTTAAAATCACATGTGAAAAAGACTAATTTACGGATTTTTAAAATGATTTAGTAAATACCGTGGTAAATACTTGAAGAAACTATTGCGAAGTTTCAGTTCATCCAGGGCATAGTTTGGATCTTTGAGAATATTTTACAGTTTATTTCAACTCGATAAACACTTTAATAATGCCACGAGGTTCTTTTTTGTAGGACCATGTTTACGCGGTAACCAGCCTTGAAAGTATACAAATTCCATAAAGATTTACATTAATTTCCAATATGTAATAAATTAAACTTGTTTGTAGCATTGTGTTACTAATATAGACCTAATTAAGATTAAGACATATTTTAATTTTTTTGTCTGATGATGAATTCATATTTTTTTTCTTCACATAAACTTAATATGAGTAAAGATAATTAAAGATCTCTTAAAGGAAAACAAGGTTTTGAACAAATCATCATTTAAAAAATTGGAACCTAACCGTATATTATTAGTTATGTTTTACGGGCATTAAAAAGCGTTGAACGATAATGACAACCGGATGACCTTTATTGGCTCTGTAAATTTTTTTCAGTCAAACAAAATATAAGAGAGAAAAAAATCAAAAAGAACTTGTTAAAGGGTTATATTTTGACCACTCCCATACTATTAGTGTTTTGAATTGGAAGGTTTTTTAACTCATCCCAACAGAAATTGGTATACTCTCGTATATTATGTACCAAACCAAAAAACTCATATTTACCAGATTAATGCTTATATAGGAATAATTATGATTTATGATTTATTATGATTTATTTATGAT